GGGGGAGGGAGCCGGGCTGTGGGCGCACTGGAAATGAGATCGGCTGGAATGAAAGGGGGGCCAAAATGAACTTCCATCCATCAGCGGCCTCGCGACGTCGCTTAAACGCTCGTGACAAGCCCCTCCAGAGAGACGGGTCCGAAACTGCCTCCCAGTCCCGTCCGAATTATTTTCCTCTCCCTCTCTTAATTAATAATGACAAAAAGGGGGTGATTTCGCCCCTCTGCCGCTGCCCGACCCCGCAAGGATTTGATTCTTTATTTGAGGCAGGAGGAAGGAAGGCGGAGAAAGAGGCAGGAGGGAAACAAAACGTTAATAATAATAATAACAATAATAATAATTAAAAAAAAAAATTTGGCATGGCATACGCGGAAAGACTTCCCCCTTCTCCTTTTTTATTTATTTATTTATTTATTTATTTTTTGGTCCATAAATCTCTCGGCTCCGCTAAAATGTTTTCTAACCTGACCATTTCATTGCGCTCCTTAAGGTCGGGTTGTTGTTGGGGTTTTTTTGTTGTTTTGTTTTGTTTTGTTTTGTTTTCCCCGAGCAGATCTAACACAAAACTGGGATTGTAAAAGGGCTTTTTTTGTTTGTTTGTTTTTGCTATCCCCGCTACGGGGATGTGTCCGCTGATGCGCCAAAAAAATAAAAATAAAAATAAAGAGCCCCCGCTTTTGAGAGCGAGGACACGAATCAGGGGGACGGAAAATAAACCCCCGAACGCTGCAGCGAGAAATATTAAAGAGCAATATTTTACGAGATCAGCAGAAGTAATCGCTTCCAGATTTTTTTATTTCGGAGGAACCGGGACGAGGGCGACAAAACGCATTTCGCCCGCCCGCTCTGGTTTTGATTAGAAAGATTAAAACGCTGCTCCACTCATTTCATTAAAGGAAGGGCCCTATAACAAGTTTTTATGATTAAACATCCCTCGCTGCTCGTTTTTTATACAATCTCCTGCCTCTTGTTCCTCCTTCAGCAGCCTGGGAAGCGCGCAGGGAAGGGGCCCTGGCTGGTCCCGGCTCCGGGCGCTCTGGGCAGCGGCTTTTCTCGCCTCGGCAGCCCCAGCCCTTGGCAGGACGGGGGGGTTTGACCTTTCCTCAGCCGACAACCCTCCCCCCCTTTTATTTTTATAATCTCCCCCGCGCAGGGCGAAGGAAAAGGGGGGGGGGGAGAAGAGGTTGTGCCTCTGCTTTATTTTTTTGGCCTTTTAGCCCTAAAAATTTGCCGGCGCATCGCCACCACGTATTTCTTTCTTCGTCCTCCCTCGCTCTGCCCGCGGCTCTTCCCCACCCCAGACATTTTTATATACATATATATATTATTTTTCCTCCCCTCCTCGCTTCCAGCGACCCTCCAGGTCCGGAGAGACCCCCCCGGCCAAGGCAGACGCTCCCCCCGAGCGGTTGGCAGGGAGCGGCTGCCTCCGCCAGCTCCTCTCTTTCCCAGCATCCACATTTAGCCTTCCTTTTTTTTTTTTTTTCCCCCATATCTTTCGATTGCCTGCGGTCGTAAATTAGTACAATTAATTATCCCAATCTAAAAATTGATGGCACGTATAACCCTTACCTCAGCGCCTTTTTTTTTTTTTTTTTTTTATGACGGTACTTTGGAAGGGAAAAGTGCTGGCGAAGGAGGCGGAAAATCTCCGCTCTCCTCGGGCTGCGGGGGATTCTCGGTCCCCCCGCGAGGCACCGGCACCGGCACGGGCGGGCCGAGCCCCCGGGGCCGCTCCTCCGCGAAGGGGCTTGAAAGAAAAAGACACCTACATGCCGATTTTTGTTCTTTTTTTTTTTCCGTTGTTGTCGTTTCGTTGTTTTGTTTTTTTTTGTTGTCTTGTTTTTTTTTTTTATCTCCCGTGACGTTAGGCATATTTACACAGAGCTGCTCTACAATAGCGAACATAACAATATTACAGAACGGTTCTG